AGTGTAAGAAATCTCCTGGCCCAGATGGAATAAGTACGGAAATGATTAAGGCAGTAGTTTGCGCATATCCAGAATATATGCTAAATTTATTTAATGAGCTGCTCAAAGCAGGAAAATTTCCGGAAATATGGAAAAGAGCTACACTAGTTCTTTTAGAAAAACCTAGGAAGCCAGAAGATACAGAAACAAAATATAGACCAATATGTCTGCTGGACACATTGGGAAAGTTATTGGAGTACCTTATAGCAGAAAGAATTAACATAGATATTAAGGACAGGGCAGATATAGCAGAGAACCAATTCGGTTTTAGAAAAAAACATTCAACGGTAGACGCAATGATAAAGATTATCACGAAAATAGAAACGATTAAACAAAGTACTTATGCAAACAGGAAATTCTGCATCCTTATAACCCCAGATATTGCAAACGCATTTAATACAGCAAGGTGGCATTATATTATGGAAGAAATAAAAAGAAGAAAAATTAGCCCTTATCTAAGAAGGATATTAGGTAGTTACCTACATAATAGAAAATTAATAATAGGAAGAAAAGAAATAGATGTTACGATGGGGGTACCACAGGGGTCCGTACTGGGTCCTCTTCTATGGAACCTATTCTATGATGAAGTTATAAGAACAAAAGTGCCTAATGGAGTTGAAGTGATAGGCTATGCTGACGATACTGCTATATTGATAGAAGATAAAAACAAAACAGCCCTAATAGCAAAAGCAAATGCAGCATTAGCATGTATATCAAGGGAGATAGAAAGAAGAGGACTAAGATTAGCTACCGAAAAAACTGAAGCTGTCATTTTGGAAGGAAGAAATAACCTCAAGCACATTACAATCGAAATGAACGAAATAGAAATACAAAGTAGGGAATGTATTAAGTATCTAGGTGTCACTTTTAGCAGAAATAACACAATGACAAATCATATTACAAACACATGTAAAAAAGCGGAAAAAACAATAGCTGCTCTCAGTAGGCTAATGCCGAATGTAGGAGGACCAAAGTCGAGCAGACGGAAAGTACTAGCGTCAGTTGTTCACTGTACTGTTTTGTATGCTGCACCAGTGTGGGAAACAGCAATGCAGAAAAAACACATTAGAAACGTGGTAGAACGACTACAAAGACGTATAGTAATAAGGGTATGTAGTGCTTATCGAACTATATCAACAGATTCACTATTGGCGATCGCAGGTGTAATACCTATTGATTTAATGGTACAAGAACGATCAAAAATATATATAGACCCGGAGGAAAGGGAAAATATAAAAGAAAGTATCATTAGAAAATAGTTAGATCGATGGAATACTCAGAACGGAAAGGCAGTCTGGTGCAAAAGGCTAATTAGGGATCTACAAAAATGGATAAATAGGAAACACGGCGATATAGATTACTACCTGACACAATTCTTAAGTGGGCATGGATGTTTTAGGCAATACCTGCATAGGTTTAAGATAAGGGAAAGTCCCCAATGTATTTACTGCGGAGAAATGGATACCGTTGAACACACTGTTTTTAGATGTAGTAGGTGGCAAGAGATTAAAAATGAAACGGTGCATAAGCTGGGAAAAGATATATCTGCAAACAATGTCATTGAGATAATGTTGGAAAGTAGCAAAAAATGGGAAGAGGTGGCAGCCATGATACGGCAAATATTAAGTATTAAAGAAAAAGACGAACGACGATTAGGGACAGAAGAAGCAGTCGAAATAATGTAAATGCATGGAAAATATGTGAAGTAACCCTTATCTGAAGTAATGCTAATGGCAGTTCCAGATAAGATGTTAAGAAAACTTGGAGGTGTTTTAGTGAGTATACAGTGCCTGCACCTACCGCACTGGAGTCTTACACTACCTTGTCGCAATAGATCTAAGCGCTGGGTGTCCGTAAGGGATTTCACCTCTACCGAAAAAAAAAAAAAAAAAAAAAAAAAAAAAAAAAAAAAAAAAAAAAAAAAATAATAATAATAATAATAATGTTTATTTGAAAATATAAAAGATACATATTAAATAATACAAAACACAAATAAACAAGAAATAAAAACCACGAAGCAGGTCAAGCCTACTTGTGAGTGGTCATCATAAATAAATATGGTAGAATAAGTGGCATAAAAATATTCTTAAGACAAAAAATAATTTAGACAATATTTTTTTTTACATTTTTATTGTTCAATAATATCATGAACATCCCGTGGCATATTAAGAACATAATATTTTATTTTTTGATTAAATACAATTAGCCTAGTTTTCACCTTAATATCGGGAGGTAGCAATTTTTGGACCTAAATATGAATAATGTCTTTGACCGATTGCCTTTTACATGTAAGGGGTAATGTACACGTCTTTATTTCGAGTAGCATATTTATGACATACAGTTTGCAATTCTATTTTATGTTTATATGTAATAATGGCAGTGTTTATAAAATATAATTGTCTAATGTCAAATATGCTACTATTACGGTATAAGACGTTGCTGGGGCAGTCGTAACCAGCCTTAAGGATTGTTCTTAGAAATCGCTTTTGTAGAATTAAACTGAATCATTTTAAAAACCTGTTTTAAAATGTTTTAATAAAAAAAATGCAGATTTTTTGCACAAATTCGTTTTTTACTTAAGATTAACTAGGCACTTTGAGATTTTTAAAAATATTCCCCGGAACAATTTTAATATTTCACATCTTCTCTTGATTTGTTAAAGCTGATATGAATAACCATGGTTAATTCAAAACATTATTAATACTAATTATTTAAAAATAAGAAGATTTTTTCGTAATTGGTACATCTATGATAAGTAAATTCGCTAAAATCTAACAACTAAACAACTTGAAATGATGAATGAATATTTTGTCAGCTGCTCGGTAAGCTCATAATAAACAACGTAATATGCTCCGCCTACTAAATGCTAGCTGTTGCCACATTTCGTAAAAAATACTTGATATCCAATTTAACATACATAAGTTTTGAAATTTATTGAAAATTATTACATCTAATTTAGTGAAATTATATACAATTTAGTTAAAATTGATATAAATAATGTTTTTAAAATTTTTGGTTTCAGTTGCAAGAAACTAGATTGAATTATTTTAGCTTTTTAAGATATGTAAATAATTTTGCAAACAAAACGAAAATAATGAAATGGGCATGACAACAGCGTATATTATCCCTTAGAATATGTCTTATTCCGGACCGCACAATATTTGTTTGTAGTTACATCTCCTCTTGTTATCTCTGCGTCACACTTTCTACAACTTAAAACGTCAAACCACAAAATAACTTAGTGTTTCATTATGTGCGTCAAACACGTAAAAATTCTGAACGTCAAAAATTCCAAAGCATCCCAAATTTTAAATTTAATAATTGTGGAGGATATTGTTCGAACATTTAAACGGTAATTTATTTTTCGATTAGATACTGTTTTTTAAAAAAATTAAGATCATAGAGCGTCTTGCTTTTACAAATAGTAGAAACATCAACAACTATTAAATTTAAGTAATTTTTAAAAAAATAGATGTTTTTCTTCAACCTTAATTTTCCTAATATATAACGGAAATAAAATTATAAAAGGCCGAACATATAGTGGTTAGGGCTCGTAATTATTTAAAAAATTAATTACAATGTTTTAGTAGGATTCAACTTTTACTGTTGCGTTCTAGTTAATAGTGCTGATCCTAAAATGTCGCTGGGAAACAGTAACAAAGTTCACAAAAGCCATGAGGCTAATAACCAAAACAATAAAAATAGAATAGCTAAATAGGTATATTTACAAAATAACAAAACATATATTAGCATTAACATATGATGAGTATAAAAGATTCAAATTTGGATACAAATTACGTAATTTGTATGAACAAAGATTAAGGTACCATGATTACCTAAGGTACAAATAAAAAAACTGTCTTGTGTAAACATTTTTTCCTACGACCACTTAGGAAAGTGACACATATCACACTATATAGTCCTATGAAAAGTGCCCTATATCACACGCGTATAAATAATAATTTACTTTCCATCCGTGTACGAATATGTTACTTTCCGCCGTAGCTGTCACAAAATGTCAAACACGTAATTTCTATTTTGATCTATGTAATGTTCATATTAATACTAAAATCGATATGATTGTTAAATTATTGAAATTGTTGTAAATTAGATCCAAGATATTTATCTTTAACAATTATTAATAAAATAATTTTAAAATAATGTTTGCTCTTTATTCTGGTTAAATACATATCCGATTAGATCATTCAATTGACACAAGGGCTATTAGCTCAGGTGGTTAGAACATCGAACTTATCAACTTTGCCATTTGAGACCGCGTTCAAATCCTGGCGGGGCAGAATTTTTTTTTTTTTGTTTAGAAAATATGAAAATTAAATAAATATGATAATTGTCGATTATTTTTTTAAATACATTTTAATTATTATAGTAATAATAACCTTGATTTTACATTTTTTGATGACATTATTTTGTGGTCGTAGGAAAAATATTGTACATCACTTGTGTGAAAAGTGATTTTCCACACTCGTAATGTAATATAATATTTTGAACAGATGGCATTAATATCTTTTCGTTCAAAAAAATGTTTATACGGACAGCGTTTTTTAGTTTCCTCAAATTGTTAATAGATGGACTTCCGCCCGTTTAACATGGAGCGATTCAAATATGAATTAACGCCTTAACTATACAAAATAACAAAAATGGTATAATTGATAATAAAGTCTAGCATCGGATTCCCAACTTGACCATTGACTGAGAATTTGTATTATAACATAAACTTACCACACCATCTCTACTAATAGTAGTCACAAACTATGAAGTGATCAATAAAAATGTTTCTAAAATAAGCCATGGAGAAAATGGACCATGTCGAAGCTGAGCATTCTTGTTTTTAAGTGATAGTTTGGATTTCATTCAGGGCGTGTGTTTATCACGGGTATGGCTATCTTTATCATGACCTACTTTAGAAACAAGTTTGAAATTAAATTTCTTGTTTTACTTACTAATTTCTTGTGTAGTCTTTTCTTTTTTTGGGTTCCTACAGTCTTGTCATCTTTTACAGGATAGTGACTAAACAAAAAGTTTATATCTTCTTCTTTTAGAACATTTTTAATTGGCAGAAGATGGTCATCTAATTCTCCAGCTTTGTGAAGTATGATACAAGCTTTAAGTGCTGCGGCTCTTTTTGCCAACCTTAAGGTTACCATAGGTGGACCCTAGGACAGTAGATAATAATAATTGTTGTTATTTGAACCAATTTGTTCAAACTATGGCAATATTTAGCATGCAACAGTTTTATTTGCTTAATTGACCTTTCTTGCAAAAAATGAGTAATATTTTTATTCTTAATTCTAAATTCAAACATGGAATAATTATATAAAATTAAATCAATGAACATAGAAATGACTAATTAAAATGTTTTTAAATTTGTAGAGATAGTTACTAAAAGTTTTACACTATTATCTTTTTTTTTTAATTGTCTTCTATATTATCCTATGCCATAATATAATTTAGTTATTTATACAAAAAGATCAGAGATTTGTTGGATAACAAGAATATTAAATATACTAAAGATTCTAGATATATAAAATATGGTAAAAATTTAATGCATTAAAATATTAAAAAAATAATTTACCTCAATCAAATCTAAAAGTTTACACACAGTTGGCAATAGAATAACCACAGATTTCTTACTGCCATAATGCTTTACATACCAATCAGGAGTAAGGCTTGTGTAGACGTCTGAAGGAAGACTTTGGCAATATTGACATAATAAAGAAATTGCTGATGTCATATTAACTTGGGCACTTCCAGGTCCAGCTACATAATAAGGGGCAATTTCATTTTCTCTATACATGGCCTCTATATCTTGTTGAGAAGGTTCTTCCCGTTCTATATTCTTTCCAATAAGGTACTGAAATTAAATGTTCAGTTGTAGAAAATGTACACTGGAGAATATTTAAATTTGAACTGTTCAATAGTTTGTATATGGCACTCAGAGTTGATTAAGAATATTTTAACCTACCGTAAAGCAATTATTATTTTAATCTCACTGTATTGTTGATACAAAGTTTTTTTGAAACGTGTTTTTCATTATTTTTAAGTTCAAAATTTTATTCAAAATCCCATATTATTATTAGAATAATTTGATACTAACATCATTTAAGATTGTCTCAATTTGTTGATATTCCATATACTGCTGGCTAAATTTTTTTAAGTTATCGTTGGATACCATTATATTATAAAAGCTTTGCTTATGCCTTGCTCTTCCCTTAGATTGAATATATGATCTATAATCTACTGGAAGATCATACTTAATAACTAAGGTACATTTTGGAACATCCACACCTTCCTCCAAAACATTTGAAGCAACAAGAATGTTGATCTCTTTTTGGGAAAACCTTTCGATTATCTATAAAATGTAATTTTATGAAGTTTAAATTAATATTTAATAAAGCACACAATTAGAAGTTTTTGGAAAGAAATAAAATTTTTAGGTAGGCCAAAAACATATGTTTTCCGTATTCAGTTTCCAAATCGGACAGACAGAACTCACAGAAAACAATGAAATCTATTCCCCGCACACGTTCGATTTATTCCGAATTGTCGGTATATTTTCGTAACGTTTGATTCGAAAGCTACCTTTTCCGTTCAAAATTTAGAATCTAAAAAAAAAAAAAAAAAATCGAATGTCTGTGACAAATTTACGAAAAACGACTGTTTGCAACCAGGTTTAGATCTATCCAAAACTCTTCTTAATGTACTTTTTCATAATGGGGCATGGCGACACTATCTGAAACTGCTTTTAATCGATTTATACCCGAGTAGAGTGATTGTTTTGAAATAGTAACAGGGCGTGTCTATTCATCGGGTGTTCCGTCAGATAGGAAAATCTGGGCGTGCTTGTTCATGCTTATTTTCAGCCCCGAAGAATATAGAATTCTGTTTTAAATATCAGTCTTCTTTAGTCAAATTATTTTGCAAATAACCTACGTATTCTTAGGCATTTATCATCATTTTGATTCGTCTTCAAATTGTATTAGGAAATGATTTTATTTATTACTTCCTATTAAAACTTTGTGCAGGTTAATCATATTATCAAAGAAAAAAAAAATGGAAACATCCGGGGCAGGCAAAATCAGTAAAGAAAAGTACAAAAATACAATTGAAACAATAAGGATGTGGTTTACTTCAATATTACGTATGTGTGCTATGAAGAAAGATGTAAATATATTTATTTAAGAATAAGTATAATTTCGGGTGTCAGTGCGAAAACATGTACGTCATTTCAATTTTCAATGACATCCTCATAATGATGAAAAACTACATCCATAATAAAAAAAGTTACATAGGTTACTTTTTGAGGTATATTAAATTATTAACTATTTTATTTACTAAGAAAAATCAAGCTACCATGCCACAAAAATTCAAGACATAAATAACGCCATCTGAAGATTTAGCGCGAATACCCGGTATATTGATTTTAACAATAATTTCAAAAATGAGGGTGTTTTCTTCACGGGTTGCAAATGATATGCAATAAGTGATAGCGAATTGAACAATTAGAACGAGTGACTCTTGGTCATATATTACTTTTTTGTAAAAATCCTATAAAATTGTTTGTCCTGATTGACTCACTGACTGATCTATCAACGCACAGCCAAAACTACTAGAAAGCTGAAATTTGGAACATAGGTTTATTTTATAACGTATGCATCCGCAAAGTATTTTTGAAAATTTAAACTTTAAGAGGGAAAATGGGGAAGGGGATCTTTGTAAGAGTCTTTGTTCTTTGAAGTTAAAAAAATTTGAATTACAGGCACTGAGCATAAATAAATAATGACATTCTCTGGGTTTCTTGATTTACACATTTTAAGGGAGGGAAACGGGGTGAAAGTTTGTATGGGAGTATCGGTTTTGTTAAACGTAGGAAACTGAAAATTGGAATTGTAGCTACTCATCATAAAAAAATTATGACGTGTTTCAGGGCTTTTGGATTATCACCTTTCAAGGAAGGAAATAGTGGTGAAAGTTTGTATGGGATTGTTATATCGCAGGTAATGTGACGATTAACACGATAAAGGTATAGCCAAGCTTTTTTTCATTCCATATTTTTATTCGTTCCAAATTTTCTTCGTGGTTTATTTTTTGCGAGTTACTTTCTGGTATTCCTCTCCGTCTACCGAAGATGAGGTGTTATCATTGTTATTTAGGTTCATGATATCCTTCATTATATTAAGTTGAACATGTACCATTGAGGTCTCAGGTATTTTGGGTGAAGCTGGCAATGTTGTAGCACTATTTGTTTTCAGCTTGTTGTTTATCATCATAGATGCATTGATTGATTGTAGCGATTGTACAGTACACCTGGCTTTTTGTTGATAATTGGTTTTTTGTCTGGTTCAATTTTTATTTCTGATTTACTTTCTTTATCTTCCAAGTAATTAATTTTTTAAACCAAAAAATAAATGACGAGTGCCATACCTCCAGAATCTTCCAGAGCTACGTGCTCAACAAGACGTTGGATTAGTGTTATAAAAACATGTTCGCGACCGACTTTATCCATACAACAAGGTGGGTATCGCGCATGGTGTCATGGCGGCGCTGACGTCATGCGTAGTTAGTACAGTTGGCGCGAAATAAATATCATATGTCAGATGCAAGTTGCAGTAGTTTGTGAGTCTTTATAATGATTTATAACATTTTAAACAGATATTTGTATTTTAATATGTTATAAACTTTGTTATCTGTGAGTGATATTAGTGGAAAACATTAAAAAATGACTCACCAGTTGCGAAAACTAATCAGGTAAAAATTTCTTCTAATTACGAGTTGCGAAGATACCCTTCTCATTAACTTGGTTATAGAAAATAAAACATTACAAGTATTAGAAATTAAAAATTAAAAAAAAACCGACTTCAAAAACGTGTAGATGCCATCACCACATCTTAAACAAATTTATATAGGACCACCCCTGATTTACCCCCTTACTAACAAAAAAAAAAGAATCATATAAATCGGACAAGGTGGTAAAGCATTTTCGCTAAACATACATAAAAAATTAAGAGTTTGAGGATTTTCTCATGGATCCAATTATTAAATTTTGACCTAATTTATATGGGACCACCCCTGAAGTAGCCCCTTTCTAGCAAAAAAAGAATTATTGAAATCGGACACCGTGTTAAAAAATTATCGCTGAACATACATACATACATAAAAAAAATATCGCGACGAATTGAGAACCTCCTTCTTTTTTGAAGTCGGTTAAAAAGGAAAACGCAAAAAAAAATTGCTGCTTAAAATAAATATTTCTTCTATGTATGTATTTGCATTTATATTCTTCATATTTCTTTCCTTAACTGTCCCATAATAATATCCTTAGATGTTTCACCTAATTTCTAAAATATTTTCCCTAAATATTCATGAAATTTCGGTAAAATGCATATATTTTCCTCACACTTCGTCAGTATTTTTAAATTTGCGCCTACACAAACTCTACGCGCGACGTCATGCGCGTAGTCGCCTGTTTTTGACACTGTCGATATCCTACCTTTTATTTTGTATACCATGCAACAAACCCTTGGATTTGACATTTAATGAGCTAACACTCCACGACCGGTTTTGCCCTATTTGGGGCTCATCGGGTGAGAAGTAGTCAGCTCGAATAGAATATCTATTCTACTCTGAAAATAATTTTACTATTCAAACCATACATGAAAGTTTGTTACAAACTAAATAATGTGCGAACTGTCACGCCATCTTCACTTAAATGCCCAAATCAAAGTCCGGCGATAGTTTTAGTTATCTACAACAAATCTTTGTTGTTATAAGGCGGCAGGACAGATTCTGGAAGTATGGCACTCGCCATTTATTTTTTTTTTATCTATTTGCCTTCCATTTGAGAGCGACCTCGGTCGTCTATTTTATTTTTCAATTAATTTTTTGTTTTAATAGTAAATTGTTTTCGCTTATTAGATAATATTTTTGTTCTTTTCCGTCTAATAATTATTGTTTGAGTTGATCAATTTCTTTTTCTAAAATGTTTTTTTTACCTTGTCTTCTATATAGTTGTTAGCGTTAGCAATAGTAGTTTTTGTGCCTTACTTGGCTGGCTGACAGCATATTATTCTGGTGTCACAAGTTTGTTTTTCACAGCACATGATAAGTGGAAAATGTTACCGCAGTTCACACACACTATATTTTTGTTTGTTTTCGATTGACAACATTTAAATTGTTTTTCTTCAATAATAATGACAGAGAACATTTTTAGACTTCTCATTTTCCGCCATCTTGTATATTGATGAAATATTTATCATATTTTATAATCGAGTACAAATTTTGGCCGAGACAATTATTCGAAGCCCTAAAATGCGGTTTTGGTCAGAGGCAGAGAACAATAATTGAAAGCTCAGTGCGCAAAACTAAAAATTTAAGACGTTAATAGCAGAACGAAAATATTTTCTAATTGTTGTCAATATCCGGAGAATTTTAAATGGTAGAGGTAAGAAGGAAAAGATCGAAACTAAGGAAGAAAATAACAATAGCAAGATGAATAAAACATAAATATGATGCAAATTGAAAGACTGAAATGTTGTGTTATCGGTTTATTTTTAATTTTTAAGTATGAGCAGTGCCTGGATAGTTTGCAATTTAAACTAAGGTCGAGGCGCCCAGTAAAATTAATTTTCCTATTTGACGGTCCGCCGTGATAAATAGATACGGCCTTTGAAATTAGTATTAAATGCAAATTCCCAAATTATTATACTTTGTTTTCACGAAATTGTGACAAACTATTCTCAAGATATTGTCGCTCGCCTCCCTTAATGAATCATATATTAATAATATATGGAAACAGGAACCATACTTCAATTTAAATGTAGATACCTTTTTGGATTGCTTATGAATATACAATGCCTCTCTAGTGTCTTTATATGGATTCGAGTTATTTCCAACCATGAATTCAGCTTTAATGTGTTTATATTCTGAATGAGAGCGACTTATATCATTTATTAGGTGATAAATTACTTTCGCCGTGAATCTCCTTTGTGTAAATATTAAACAACATAAATCTTCTCCATTCTCATGCTTATAGTTCTTTATTATCCGTAGTAACTGTACCACCTGATCTGAAGAGGTTTTAAAGAATGCTTCCTTTTTGTCAAAACGGTTTATTTCCTCTTGTAATTTTTTGCTGACATATGTGAAGGTGGTTTGAACACAGGTGAATAAGACAAATAAATTAAAATCTTCACAATGCTTCTTAATTCTTTAAAAATAAATAAAAAATATATAAGTATTAAAAAAGTTACACGCCATTTATTTGCCACTCCTTATACATTTTTGGATAAGTGAATGTTAAATACAAAATAAATATTTTGTTGTGTAGTATAATGTTAAAAATTTTGAATATTGTCGGCGTCGTCTGTATAAAGGTACTAATACAGACAACGCTAAAAGTTTCCTAAATGGACATTGACACCCGCAGTTAAAAATAAATAACTACTAAAATCCACCCTCTACCTAGTAGGAGTCGATGTGCAATTTACTCATGGATTAATAGGCTTAAATATGACATAAGTAATTGAAAATAGCTGCGTCCAAAGTCGGTTGATATGTCTGTGTTAATTCAATGGTCAAATTGACTGATATGGTCAGATCGTTCGCTGAACAATTTACTCTAACTGTCTAGTTCTAATTTTTCAAAATATATTATCAGCACACTAAGGAAGTACAAGACCAGTCACCAGGCACCTGTTTTTGTCATGCGAATTTTATTATATTTAAAAATACTTAAAGTAATTCCCATATGGGTGTTTGAAATATGTTTTTAATAATATAGTTGTTTATTCATATTTTTGATTAAAAAATAATATAAATATGGGCCATTGTAAAGTTTTGATGATATGTTAGGTCTTAAAACACTCAACACGCTGATATTAAATAGTGAAAGATAATTTTTTGTTTGTCCATTTGAGACAAGTTCTGTATATGAATATGTATATCCAATTATTTAAAACGTCGATATATTAAATTAATTAATAAATTATCATTTTTATTATAAAAGTACCTTTCAATTTGTATAACATGAGCTAGACACGCTCTATAACCACCATAACTTCCCATTGTCTCAATGTGATAAATCAAATCATCAATTAAGTTCCTTAAATTTTTTGTGCCTTCATTGTTACTCAATGGCTTTAAGCCTTTTATAATTATAGGAGCTTTTACTGGCTCAAACTGCACTTCTTTTATTCCGAGTTTAATCTTCTTTAAAAGTGCAACAACATATTTTTCTTTGGCTGTTAAGTTATACTTGTGGAACGTTGTTATAAATTCTTTTGGATTAGTTGAATACCTAAAATTAAAATATCCAAGTGCCGTAACTATAGGAGAGTTACAATTAATTGTAAAATTTGTTGTTTTATTTACTCACCCTACTACAGCTTCTAATTCCTCTACAGTAGCAACCTTACTGTGGTAAGTCGTTTCTAAAGCCTTAACCTCTTCTATAACTTTGTTTAGTTTACAATTCCTATTTAGTAATGTAGCAGTAAGACCTAGTACTCGAGGAGGGTCATTTAATGTCTCAAATTGCTTCATTAGTTGCCTCATGCTATGGTCATTTACTCCTCTGTGACATTCATCAAAAATTAAGAGGTTTACTTTATTCAAATCTAAATTAAAAGATACATTATTAACTATCTACATATATAGAACAATTTAAAATATTTATTTTCTTTATGAACATCAAGTCAATACTAAAGCGGTATTCTTTAAACTATTATACAGCTATAATTATATACATATAAGTAGGTGCTTTAAATTACTTTTTTCTAATACGAAGCGTTAATTTTTTTAAGGTTGCCCTCCGTGGCGGCACTGGACTTTATAATTTTAATCTAAGTTATTAAAAAAAAAATGTTTGGAACATTAATAAAAAATGTTTGGAACATTAATAAAAATAGTTTTTTCTTAAATATTAACTCATGAAATTTTAGTCATGAAATAGGCCAAGGAATTGCCTTCTTCAATATTGACATGACAGTTAGAAACAACCTGTATATTATATACTATAAATTTTTAAGGGCCCATGAATGATTTTTACTAACCATGTATCTCAATAACCATCAATGGGCCCTCTCTTTTTAATTTTTTAATAAATCATACATTTATAAAGATATTATTGTCTTGTAGTTTTTTCCCATTAAGAATATTAACTACAAGTACGGATTCCCCACAGTCTTTCAGTGAATCATTGTGTCATAAAACTCCTAATTCCCTTTATGCTTAATATTGTGTTGTTTCCATCGACTGAAGACGCATACCTTTATTAATTTTGATTTTCACGTTTTATGGGTTTAGTATTGTGATTTTTGTGTTGAAAATACCAAAAAGAGGTGATTTGGAAAATGAAGAATAAAATTGAAAAATTACAAAAGGATATACAAACGATAACTGATAGGTAAATTTTATTTAAACAGAAAGTGGGCCACTAAAAACAGTTTTGCAAATCATTATTAAATTTTAGAAAAGTCTGAAACTGGCGGATTTTTAATCCAAGGTGGGACATTTTTTCCGACATAGACATCTTTTGTATGTCACCCCCTCCCATTCACTTCTTCCTGTAGGCTATCTTTAAATTTAAGGAATAATCGCCCTAGCAATAGGAGTTGTATAATGTTCCAGGTATTTGTAAACGGCTAAATCACCGAATCATTCTTTTAGAGATTTTGTAAAAAATGATTTGTAGAGTTAGTTGATTATAAATCGTTGTATTGATGAGACCTGAGTTTAAAAAAAATACTTTATTGTCCAAACAGGTTAAACCGCAATTAGAGGACACATACAATAAAAAACTATATGTGTACATATAATTATTCCTAATTTAAAGAAAATAACTTAAAATACCTAAATTAATAGCTTTGTGCTTCACATATTTAAACTGACACTATAAAATCTAATGAAAGAATGAAACTATACCTATTTATTAATATTATCTAAGTACTCATTGATTTTACGTTTAATGCTTGTAAGAGAGTCAAAGTTTATGTTCAAATTTAATTCAGCTGCATATCTATTAAAATTGTTGCAAATGGTATGGATAGGTGAATTTGTCAAAATATTTGTTCGAGGTGTGGGCAAGTAAAATACCGTTTTATATCTTGTATTGAAATGCGGTACACTAAATTTAATTTGGGATAGCAGGTCTGGACAGTCCAATAAATTAATAACTAGTTTATAATAAAAGTTATGCCCTGCAGTACTCTCCTATCTTCTAGAGATATTAAAAATAATTTACCCAATAGAACAGTATTGTCAATTCCCTTTCCGGATAAATCCCATCAATTTTAAATGCAACGTATTACATAAGATTATATAATTTCTGCCAAAGAATACTGTGATCTAATCTATTGAAGGCCTTTCAGAAGTCTGTATATATTGTATGTACTTCTAGTTGTTCGAGTGCATTGCATACTCTGAGTGAAACACACTAAGTTGGTGACAGTCGACCTCTTTGATATAAATCCGTGCTGTTGTGAAATGATACTTGGTCTGACCAAAGGAAATATTCCATTACAAGCAGACATCTCAAATACCTTCGCAAAGTTAGAAAGCATAGTCACCAAACGGTAATTTGTAATTGCATTAATTGGTCCACTTTTGTGAACTGGGCATATTTTGGAATATTTCCATAAATCCGGGAATACTTTCTGTTTGAGAGAAATATTAAATATTTTTTCCATATGCTTGCTGAGTGCGCCAGCACAATCCTTAACTATGAAACTTGGAATATTATCATAACCAGATGTTTGTTTTGACTCGAGTTTTTTTAGAGCATTAAATATATCATCTTCTGATAGCATTTTTAAAGAAAAATTTTTTGAATCTCCACAAGCATTCATGTTATTATTTACATGAGGAGTAGATTAATTGAACACACATTTAAAAAAATGTACGTAAGCATTTACTATGGACATAGGCTCATTAAATTCGTTGTCATTATGAAACATTATTGTGATGTTTGTTTATTTTCAAACAACAGTTTATTTATCAATAATTTATTTAATCACTTATTTATTTTAAACAATTTTAATTTATATATACTTCGAATGTCTTTAAACTGATCACTATTTATATTCACCACTGTCTATCTACTAATTACTATTTATCTGCACTGTCCATATAACAACTGATTATGATGGCTCGCCTCCACCAATTTATATACAAAATTGGTGGCCTAGAATGCTCCCCCACCAAAATTGCCAGTATGTACCAGAAACGCTATCACGTTCTAGAAATAGTATCTCGTTGACCCTGGAATGTTCGCGAAAGTGTCTCCACCATAGTCGTCCCATAGGTTTGGTCTTAAGGGGTTCAATTATGTATAATAAGCGGACAAGTTGAGCCTCAAAGGCCAAATAATACAGAGAGGGACTTGGAGTATTAGAGCATGACTAAATAATGAAATGGCTCACATTACATTGCCCCCTCCTTAAGAGATAGTTCCTCCTGGAACTCTTACGAAACTAAACTGGAATGGTTGTATTTGCAACTGAATCCTCTTTTACAATTTCCAGTTGCATGGAAGTAACAAGGGACGGTCTTCGCTGTAACCTGGGCACTGGGCGAATGGCTGCAGACCAGTATCTGAACTCCGGTATCTTGAAAGATGACTTCCACCATGTTCCTAATGATCCTCCAATCCAGTTGATTTCCTTCTATCTTTGGCATGGCTAGTTTCTGTACATTGGACTCCCGCACGTGCTCCCTTAGACTAAGTAATGCTTCCCATACATCCTGATAGGTGGATCGATCTTGGAAAGTGTTCTTCGTTATTAAATAGAAAAGATAACGCGACCCGTCTTGAAGTTTCAAAGCTTTTCCAGGGGCAGGTAACTGACATTGAAGTTCTACCAGTCGACCAAACTTCTTACGGAACACATTTGCCAGTCCTCGCGCGTCGTTGATGCTGGCGGAAGTACTATGGACCAGCGAGTAGTCTTTCGGAAGCGAGAGCAGATCTTGTTGTTGCTCGGTCGTGACACCATATCTGGCTTTTCCAGTACCTCCATATGCACCCATAAATTCTTCAAAGACAAGGTCTGGTGTTTCTTGAAGTTGGTTTACTTCTTCTTCATGGTCACCCTCAAATGGCGCCAGCCTGTTTTGGTGCACTACCTTTGGTTTACCGTTTGGGATCTTACTTATAAGGTAAATTACATCATTTATTTTATTCTTGATGAGGTACGGACCTTCCCAAGACCTTTGAAGCTTCGGAGAATAACCCTTTTGTCTTTTTGGGTTATGGAGCCAGACTTTGTCGCCTTCTTTAAAACATCCTTCTGTTGCTTGGGTATCGTATTGCTTCTTCATTCTGTCGCTGGCGATTTGAAGATGGGAGCGAACTAATTCATGCATGTCGTCCATTCTTCTTCGTAACTGGATCACATAATCTTCACCAGCTACATCTTCTCCAGGTCGGCATCCAAACTCAAGGTCGCACGGTAGTCTCATCTCACGCCCAAACAAGACCTTTGCTGGTGTTTGGCCTGTTGATTCATTGACAGCGGATCTATAAGCCATTGCAAAGAGCGAAAGATACTGATCCCAATCTCTCTGATGGTTTGAAACCACTTTTGACAGATATTTGCCAATGGTCTTATTCATTCGCTCTACCATTCCATCGGATTGTGGGTGCAATGCTGTGGTTCTGGTCTTCTTCATGCCTAGTCTGTCACAGATTCCACTGAAAAGTTGACTTTCAAAATTTCTACCTTGGTCACTGTGGATCTCCAAGGGCACTTCAAATCGACAGATACACTCTTTTATCAATACATCTGCAACAGTTGCGGCCTCTTGATTTGGAATGGCATAGACTTCCACCCACTTTGTAAAATAATCCATAACCACCAAAATGTATTTATTACCATCCTCGGTCGCGGGGAATGGTCCAGCAATATCTAAGGCAATCCTCTCAAATGGGCTACCAACGTTATATTGCTTCATGGGAGCCTTCCTTTTTCGCTGAGGTCCATTACTCATAGCACAGGTGGTACATTTCTTACACCAGTCCTTTACATCATCGGAACTGTTCATCCAGTAAAACCTTTCCCGAACTCTCTGAAGGGTTTTCCTAACACCGAGATGTCCTCCTGATGGACTGTCGTGTAATTGACGAAGTACTTCAGCCACTCTACTTCTTGGAATGACCAACTGTCTTCTGTTCTCGGAACCATCATCATTTCCAAGTACTAGCTTTAATAAGCCATCTTCCAGGATAAAGGAGTTCCATTGAGCCAAATACGACTTAAGTACTGGAGAGAGATTAGATACTTCTTGCCAAGTAGGTCGACGATTTTCCTCTTTCCATTGTCGCATCTTCTTTAAAACGGTATCATTCTTCCTTAATTTTAGCAGGGGCCCACTCATTGTTGACTACAGTTGTTCTTAGTAGTCCACTTTCTTTGGATTCCGCTTTGTTACAGTGGGAGCACTCTGCTGGACATGGTCTTCTAGAAAGAGAATCGGCATTTCTGTGGCTAATTCCGGCTCTATGTTCGATCTTAAAGTCGTACTCCTGAAGTCGTTCAATCCATCTGGCGATTTGACCCTCTGGGTTCTTAAATTGCATCAACCACTTAAGGGCTGCATGATCGGTCCGGATTAAAAATTT